TGCAGCTCCTTTGGAAAACAGTTTGACAGTTCCTCAAAAAGTTAAACATAGAGTCACCATCTGACCCAGCAATTCCACTCGTAGGTGTAGCACCAGAAGAAAAGAAACTGTACATCCACACAAAACCTTGTATACAAATGTTCATAATGGCATTATTCATTATAGCCAAAAAGTGGAAACAACCCAAATGGATGAATAGATAAACTCATGAATGGATAAACAAAATGTGACATACCACCCAATGGAATATTACTCAGCCATTAAATGGAATGATGTACTGACACCTGGTATCATATGGCAGAACCTTGAAAACATGATGCAAGGTGAAAGAAGCCAGTCACAAAAGACCACATACTGCATGATTCCATGTAAATGAAATGTCCAGAACAGGCAAACCCTCAGCGACAGAAAGATTAGTGGTTCTCAAGGACTGGGGATGAGGGGAAAGGAGAGTGACTGCTAATGGGTATGAAGTTTCTTTTTTGGGGAGATGGAAATGTTCTGGAATTAGATAGTGGTGATGGTTGCACATATACTAAAACCCACTTAAGTGTACACTTTAAAGAGTGCATTTGATGGTAGGTGACTTATATCTTAATACATTTGTTATAAATAGTATATATTTTTGAGTGGCTACTATGTGTCAAGCACCATGCTAGGCACTGGGATGACAATAAAGAGCAAAGCCAGATAAGGTTCCTGTTCCTGTGTTGCATTAAATAGTGCATCACACAAAATATATGAAAAGATCTTCAGAGGGAAGGCAATGTCTGATTAATAACACAAGACTTCCCAATTATTTCTGCCTAGTGGAATTTTGTTATGGTGAAACAAAGCTCGAAATCTCAATTCTCAGTTTACATAATGAATTAGAGAGGTCGATGCCTGGCCCCCCTGCACCCCACCATCAGGGTAACTAACAAGTGAAAAAAGCCTTGAATATAGAATGGAAAAGGGGAAAGCAAGACCTTACATATATGCTTAAGTTTTTGTTTTTTTATTTCGGAAAATTTCAAAAGGAAAAAAAAGATAAGGAAGGGAAGGGGAGGGAAGACATTTTTATTTGTGAAATATGCATATAAGAAAGTGCAAAACAACATCGTGTACAAATTTAACAAATAATTATGAGGCGAACACCTAAGTAATTAGACCCAGGTCCCCCCAGAAGCCTTGCACATGCTGATTCTCAATTGCAACCCTCTTCTTTGCCCCAGAGGTAACCACCATCCTAATTCTTATGGTAATTTCCCTGCTTTTCCTCGTCATTTTGACACGTATGTTTGCAGCCCTACATAACACAGATTTGTTGTTCCGAGTTTGGAACTTTTGGAAATAAATTAATTTATTTGTTGGTTGGTTAGTTGGTTTTTATGCCTGTCTTCTTTGGGCTTTTAAGACTCCCATGTTGCATATGACAATAATTCATTTGTTTTCACTGCTATGACATTCTATTGTACGAACAGTCCACAAGTAATGTACCAGTACTATGACTGATAAACATCTGGGACATTTCTTGTTTGGGATTTGAAGAACATTGCTGCAACAGGCATTCCTGTACATCCATCCTGGCACATGAATTGCCAGATACAAGGTTACTCGTATTTTCAGCTTTACCAGATCCCGCCAAACTGCCTTCCCAAATGGTTCACCCTCCCTGAAAGAGTTCAACCCTTCTGCGTTTTCAAATTACCTTTGAAAAGCATATTCCCCATGATGGGTGATTTTTAAAAAGTCTAAGTGGGTTTTCATGACAGCTGCTATGGGGCTATTTGAAACGGGGAGATAAGAGCCACTTGACAGAAAAGGCACTTCAAGAATTTACCGACCGCTCAGCGCCTCCCAGTTCTCCTCTGTTTGACAACATGCAGACGCCATCATTTGTACATTTCCCACACACCTCCAGTGTGAATCGTTGCTGTTTATAACATGCTTTCACAAAGAGTGTTTCATGTAAGCCTCATAAGGATCCTGAGCGATAAATGTTATTGTTGTGTATTCGGGAGATGAGGAAACAAGTTCAGAGAGTAATAGCTGCCTGGAGTATCCAGTAAACTACAGGGCAAGGGCCTGGACTTCAGCTTATTTCTTGTCATCACACCACAGCTAGGAACCTGACAAGGTATTCTGTTGCAAAGGACTCATTGTAAGCAGATCAACGGAGCACTGTATGCACTCTGGGCAGTGTATTTCTTACCTCTTCATTTGGGATTTGGTCACGGGGCTTGTTTGGGCCAACATTACCAACAATTAAAGAAAACACTAGCATGAATAGACTTGCTCACGTCTGCCACTGCAGTAAGGAGAGTATTTCTGAGTTACCCATTGCTCCCACACAAAGGATGAGAGACACGGGTACAGATCTGCCCTAGCCAAGGCCACCCTAGATCAGCTAACCTGCAATTCAGTGAACTAAAGAAATGTTTATTGCCGTCTGACCCTCAGAATGGGGGCTGCTGGTTTCACTGCAAAAGCTAACAGACACCATTTGGGATATGAGAATGGATTTGTCACACAGAACCCTTCTTTGCCATGGTGCCTAGGATCATGAGATTTTCTTTTCTTTTTAAGATTTTATTGGGGAATTGGGGGGAGGGGAACAATGTTGGGGAATTGGAGAAGGGAAACAGCCAAGTTGTTGTCTTTCAATCTTAGTTGTGGAGGGTGCAGCTAGCTCAGCTCCAAGTCCAGTCGCCATCCGGCCGCCCATGGGCATCCAGCCGCTCAGCTCAACATATTGTGTTCAATCTTAGTTGCGGGTGGGCATAGCCCACCATCTCAAGCGGGAGTCAAACCCGGCAACCTTGTTGTTAGGAGCACATGCTCTTACCAGCTAAGCCATCCTGCCACCTGTTGGCAGCTCAGCAGCAGCTCAACTCAGGCACAGCTCACTGGTCCATGTGGGATCGAACCAGTGACCCTGTTGCTCAGAGCTCGCGCTCTTAACCAACTGAGCCACTCGGCCAGCCCAAAATTTTCTTATTAATGATTTATACTTAGGGCCTGCTATGGCCCTGAATGTTTGTGTCCCCCTAAAATTCACATGTTGGAATCTTAACCCCCAATGTGGTGGTCTTAGGGGGTGGGGCCCTTGAGAGGTGATGAGGTCATGACAGGGGGAGCCCTCAGGAATGGCATCAGTGCCTTTATAAGAGAAACCCCACAGAGCTCCCTAGCCCCTTCCACCATGTGAGAAATCTTCAACCCAGAGGAGGGCCCTCAGTGGATCACGCTGGCACCCTGGCCTTGGACTTCTAGCCTCCAGAACTGTGAAATATAAATTTCTGTTGTTTACAAGGCACCCAGCATGTAGGCTCTTGAAGGAACTAAGATGGCCTAACATTTTGAGTAATGAATGAGATCCATATTATTTGCAACACAATCTCAATTTCTTTCAACATTTTAGAAGTGCAGTTACTGTTGCCAGATATATATATATATACACATACACACATACACACACACACACACACACACACACACACACACACACACANGTCCCAAGCCAGCTCTTAACAAATGCGCCACTCGGCCTGCCCATGCATTGATTTTTAAAAGTGAATTCATTTAAATATCAAGATTTATCATAGTACAGGTAGTCCATGGAAATAGGAGAAAAAAAGAAAAACACTAAATTTAGCGCCTGAGACTGTTTCTCCCCTTCCAGCTTTTGCTCTTGCTGTTTTCAATGCCTGGAGTGACTGTCCTTATTTCTAGGTATAATTGTCAAAATATGTATCAGCCGGTCCAGTTCGTCAGCCTGGTCAGACTCCTGGGGGTGCCTGCTGTAGCCCAACAGAAGGAGCACCTCTATGGGCAGGGCCCATGCAACATGAAAATACAGGGCCCTTGCTCAGAAAGTATAAACATTTCAAACCACTGACAGAATAGTAAACCAAGTATGGGCCCTTCTAAAGACAGGGCCCTGTGCGACTGCTCAGGTTGCATGCCTGTGACACTGGCTCTGGGTGGGTGGATGCCTGGGGCATCATGATCTGGAAACTGCTCAGCCCTGAGGTCATTCTGATTGGTCAGGATCTCTGCACGCTGATGGTCAGATATTTCACTCTAGCCCCTGCTGCTGGCACTGCTGGTTGTGTGTGTGTGTATGTGTGTGTGTGTGTGTTCATTCCCTAAACCCATGAGCAGGATAATAGTATGTGCTGCAGGGAAACAGGGATCCCCAGCCTTGCAGGAAACCATCTTTTATCACCTTGCACCAGTCTCATGGCGACAGACAGATGGACATGAATGTCTATACTGGAGATTCTGGGATGAAGAACACAGATGAGGGCTCCCAGACTGGGGAGAGGCCCTGGATCACCCAAAGTTTCTCTGCAACCCCACCAGGCAGGGCAGGGAGGAGAGCCCTGGTCTGATGGGAAACCCTAGCCAGGTGATGAGGCAGACAGGTAGGGTACTCAGGCAGAGGTGAGAGGTCAGAGGTAGAAGGGCGATCAATCATCCCGGTGTGCCTGAGACTATCCCAGTTTTAGCACTGAAAACTCCAAGGCCCTAGAAATCCCTCAGACCTGCGCACACCGGGACACTTGGTCACCCCAGAGGCAGTATCTTTGGTGGGCTCCCCTGACAGTTTGCAAACTCCTGCAAAACCAGCCCCTGAGTCTTTCCACCACCCCATCTGCCTGACAGATGACATAGGACCAAGGGGCCTAATATGCTGGGTGCCGGGCTGATGTGTGTATAAGGGGATGTCCTTGGGGACTGTGCCATGGCAGTTGTCTGCCAGCCCAGAGCAGCCAGGCTACCCCTACCCCCCACTCTCTTGAGGTGGTTCTCAGTGCTCACCACCCCTGGGAGCTCCAGTCCAAGCTCTAGCCATAGGGCCAGCACCTACTCTGATTGGTCATACTGGTTATTAAATGTGTGACTGTCACCCCCTGTCCGAGGGCAGAGTCTTTCTGATGCCATCACAAACCCAAGTGCTCTACTGGTTTCCCTAGGTTCCCAAGCAATTGTGCCATCAGACCCCACCCCCAAGGGTTCCCTGGAGAAGCAAGGGAGGGGAGAGCTGAGGCTCACTCCAGCACAAAAGGATCCCCTCCAAGGGCAGCTCACCTGGCCCAGGGACTCAGAACACACATGACTCACCCCACTTGAGCTGAAACAGGTACCTCCCTGGGAAGCCCCAGAACCCTAATGCGGGACACATAACACGGGGTGCACTGAGCCGCTGATGTCCCCAATCCTTTGCCAGCACCCTCTGGCCCCACAGAAGCAGCCAGTATGCCTATCTCCAAGTGCCTGAAAAAGTCAGAGCCCCTGTGGAAGGGATGGGACTGGAAGGCCCAGAAGAACGGACCGAGGCACCAGGTGTATGCTGTCAACGGCGACTGCTATGTGGGAGAGTGGAAGGACAACATGAAACATGGTGAGTGGGGGGCCCTCGGGGCCGAGTGGAGAGTATGGGGTCTGAGCCAAGGAAGCAGCGTGCAGAGTTCACTGAGGACCGAAGATGTGTTCCCTAGGCTCCTCTCAGGAGTGAATGATGACGTGGACCAGCCAGGGGACTCCATGTGCTGGGGCTCTGGAAAGGAACTCAGCACTGACCAGCTGAGGGAAAGTCTCAGGGACCCGCGGGGCACAAAGCAGCCTTGATACTACAGCCACAGCCACAGCCACAGCTGGGGCTCAGGGGACCCCAGCTCAGTCCCTACCTTCTGAGACCTGTGCTAAGCATGGTGCTGGCTAACAGCAGGAAAAGGCAGATCCGAGAAACCAGCTTGCAGCTAGGATACTTGTCTTCAGACTCAGCTCTGATGTGAGGTCTGACCAACAGGGGGTGAGGGAGCACCCCCCCACCCCATCAAGTAGCTGGGGCTCAGACTTGAACTGAACTGGTTCTGAGTCTAACCAGCAGGGGGCACAGGGGCCCTTGTGATACATATTAAGCCCTGAAGAAAAAAATAGTTTTTATTTTAAAAAAGTGACATGACTTCTCACTCCACTCTTGCAACTCCAGATTCTATGCTCTTAGCTAATCACTCTTCTCTACTGCCTTCCTGCATGAAGTGCTTTGGAATCCATAAACCTGGCTCAGAATCTCAGCTCCACCAACTATGACCTTGAGTGATCATTCACTACACCACTCTAAGCCTCAGTTTTCCTGTCTGTAAAATGGGAATAATACTTACCTGTAAAGATAAGAGATGACATCTATCAATTACGTAGTCCAGGTTCTGTGCAAAAGGGGAACTTCTGGAATGTTCCCTGAGGGCTGAGCATGGCAGGGATGCTACTTAGAACCTTCCTTGTCCAAGAAGCCCTCCAAAGCTGACCCCACTCAGTGTGTTACACAACACCTACACTCAGCACTGGCTTAAAGTCAGGTTTTATGTGGCTGCTCAGAGCTCTGTGTGTGGTTAAAGGATGCCCGCGTGTGTGCTTCAGTCCTTGTGGGCAGGCTGTGGTGTGGACAGAGCCCTGGACTAGGAGTCAGAACCCTGAAGTTCTGGCCTAGTGGCGCATTGGTTGGGAGCTGCTTGGGATGCCAGAGGTCCCCGGTTCGGATCCCACATATGAGGGCCAGTGATGCTGCCCTTTGCAGCTGGGATGCTGAACGACAGCTCGGCCTAGCGCTGGGCTGCCGTGGGTCGCCTGCGATGGTGTAGGCTGCAGCCCCTGCTGCAGTGGGTTGCCATGGTCTACCGTGTGTAGCCAGCAGCCAGCGTGAGCAGCCATCCAGAAGCCTGCTACTGATCTGCCTCGCCCGGGAAGAGCGCAATGATGGTGCCAACTTGGGCCAGTGAAGCAACGTCCTCCACAACTAGACTGAAGAACAAAGGAACAGCAACTTGTCTGTTCCCCTTCCCCCAATTCCCCAATAAAAATCTTAAAAAAAAAAAAAAAGACCCTGAAGTTTTGAGCCTGGCCCTACCACAGAGCAGCTGTATGACTAAGTAAGTCATTTCCTATTCTCTGGATCTTGGCTACCCCACCAGTGATATGACCTTGTGGGTTGTTGTGGCTTTCTGAGCCCTCTTCCTGTGTGAGTCCTGCCTCCTCTCAAGCTGATGATGCTGGGGCTGCAGAAAGCAGACCTGTTGCAGAATGGAGGCCTAGCTCCCCACCCGCTTCAAGACACATCTTTTTGACCAAACTGAAGTGAGTTGCTGTGATATACATAGATTGGAAGAGGTTTAAGAAAAAAAAAAAGTCATCATGCTAGGGCAAGGATAGGGTGGCCCCGGGGGCTTCCCAGAGTCTCATTCACTCACTCCACTAACACTTACTGTGCTCCTAGTCCATGCCAGGCCCTGTACTGGGCACCTGGCATAATTCCAACCACAGGGAGCTAGCAGTCTCACAGAGAACCTGCACAGTAGGTAATATCCCATTTTACAGATGAGGAAACTAGGTCTCAGAGAGAGAGGAAGTGACTTACTCAAGGTCATCCAGCTAAAAGCGGCTGTGAAGGGACTACAGAGGAGACATGCAAGGGGCCATGAGGACCTAGTCAGAGAGGTGATGTTTGAGCTGAGCCCAGGCAGATCAGAATGATTTATCCAGGCAGAGTGGCACATCTTCTAGATATTGGAACCAGAATGGAGGGGTGGGCCGGCTGAGTGGCGTGTTGGTTAAGAGCTGGCTTGAGATGCCAGAGGGCCCCAGTTCGGATCCCACATCTGAGGGCCAGTGACACTGCCCTCTACAGCTAAGATGCTGAACAATAGCTCAACCTGGAGCTGGGCTGCTGTGAGTTGCCGGCAACGGCGTAGGCTGTAGCCACTGCTGCAGTGTTGTTGCCATGGGCTACTGTGTGTGGCCAGCAGCCAGCGTGAGCGGCCAGCAGCTGCTGTGAGCGGCCGTCCAGAAGCCGGCGACTGATCTGCCTCACCCGGGAAGAGCGCAATGATGGTGCCAACTTGGGCCAGTGAAGCAACGTCCTCCACAACTAGACTGAAGAACAAAAGGACAGCAATTTGTCTGTTCCCCTTCCCCAATTCCCCAGCGCTGTTCCCATCCCCCAATTCCCCAATGGAAAAAAAAAAAAGACTGGAGGGGTGTTTTGGGGTGTTAAGCCTTGTGCAAAGAACAGACTGGAAGCCAGTGTGGCTGGAGCAGAGAGAGTAAGAGGAGAAGAGGGTGGGCGGGTCAAGAGAGCCAACCAGGAACAGCATGGAGGCCATAGTGGTTGGAGGACAGTCTGGCAGGTGGGATCGGAGGACACAGAAGGGACTAGAGCAGTATGAGATGGGTCTCCACGTGTTCAGGAGAACCGAAGAAATGTGCAGAACATTTCCCATTACAGAAACGGTCAATGAAAGAAATTCCAAACATAAAGAAAGGTTTAAAGAGTTTATTATGAGCCAAGAGTCTGGAGGCTAGTCTCAAAGAATTGAGATAATGCTCCCGAGAATGGCAGTTCTGTTGTTTATTTTACATGTTAGAATCGAAGGAGAAGATGTAAGGCAGGCAGGTGCATGAAATCCACTGGTGGTCGATTACAGAGGCTGGAGAAAGCAAAGGGGGAAATCTCTAGGACTGGATAGAAAGTAAGAGAGATACCTACTTCTTTACACGGGTGGGTGCAGGACAGTTACATTTCACATACAGAGCTTACAGATGTTGCAGGTAAAAGATAATAATGAGGAATGTTGAAGTTGTCTTGCCCCACATCTGGGTCTGGAGGAGATCATTTTGACATTTTAGTATTAATATGTTATTCTAAATGCACAAAAACAATGGACAAGGCTTGTTCAAGGTAGAGATTAATCTATCACATAAGCCTTAGAATGTGACTTCTCACCATTACTTGTTCAGTTAGGATTTTTTATCAAAACATCCCTTATGGTTACTTTTAGTTGTTGAACTTGTCAGGCTCGCCAAGGTATCCTCTTTTTGTTCACAAAACCCTGGCCATCTGGTGTATCCATTCCACATTATTTTTATTTATTTAAAGATTTTTTTTTCCATTGGGGAATTGGGGGAGGGGAACAACGTTAAGGAATCGGGGAAGGGGAACAGACAGGTTGCTGTCCTTTCATTCTTCAGTCTAGTTGCGGAGGACTCCGCTTCACTGGCCCATGTTGGTATTGTGATCATTGCGCTCTTNCTTGTCTGTTCCCCTTCCCCCAATTCCCCAGCACTGTTCCCATCCCCCCAATTCCCCAATAAAAAAAAATCAAAAAAAAAAGAAAGAAAAGAAACTCTCTGGCTTTTAACTAGCACCTTCCTATCTTCCCCCCTCCACCATCCCCAAGCAACCACTAATCTATTTCCTGTCTCTATAGATTTGCCTTTTCTGGACATTTCCTATAAGTACAATCATACAACATGTGGCCTTTTGTGTCTGGCTTCTTTCACTCAACATGATGTTTTCAAAGTTCATCCATGTTGTAGCATTTGTCAGTGCTTCATTCCTTTTTATGGCTGAATAACATTACCTTGTATGGATGGACCACATTTTGTTTATCCATTCATCTTTTGATGGACTACACAAGAGAAACCCCTTCACTCCAAGTTGCAAACAAATTCTTTGAGAGGAACCCAGCCAAATTCTGGTCATTCATATCTGGCAAGTAATTATCAGAAGAGTACTTGGGACATGAGCCATCATTCTTGATGCCCCCGACACTTCAATATTGGGGAGTAGCCAGTCCACAGCACCTACTCAGGAGTTTGTCAATAATGCAACCACACTCTAGCTCCATAGGAAAAATAATCTCATAGATTTGTGACCTGTCATTCCAGCTGGCCTGAGGATATAGATAAGCCTTAACCTGGCCCAGATTCTTCTCTAGGGGACAGTCCTACCTTCCCCTGAAACAGAGTCTAATTAGAGGCTGTGAAAGGCCTCCTTGCAGTGGTAGGACTGAGGCTGATGACCGTGTCTTAGGGAGAAAGAAGATTCTAGGCCACAAAGTGCCATTCAACAGGCAGGAGGTCAGCTTTGGACAAGGCCAAAAGACCTACCTGGCTGGGACTGCTGGCCAGGTACCTGAGGAGGAGAGGAAACTGTCATGAGGAGAACCACATAGTGTCAGCAGCATGACTGGCCAGGGGCGACTCTGGACACGAGCTAGGCAACTCAGGAATTTGGGAAAAGCCAATAATTTCTGTGAGTTATTGGAACTGAGGTGATATGAAGAGCAGCCATTTTCCACCATGAGCCTGAAAAAGCTGATTGGCAGAATGAGAACAACAAAGGAGAGATGGAGGGAGGAGATGGCTTTGCTGTTGACAGCTTCTCAATATTCTTGTATCCTTAATGCACTTCCTTTATTGGATAGTATTAGATGGTGTCTCTAATTGCAACCAAAAGAACCTTGGATAAAGCAAGAAGATACATTGTGGAAGTTCTGTGTCCATTAATTACCATCTACTGAGAGAGACACATGCACTCAACAAATGAACTACAAATGATGCGAT